CTTTAAAAAAATATGTGCAAGGGAAAAGAAATATTTTTGGTTATGGCACTGCTAAAGAGTTATTTATGAACACAGTATAATTCTTTGATCTATTCTTTGACTTTACAGTGATAGCCTTTAAATATGCTATGTCAAATTGTGTATATGTATGTGAAAGTGTAAATTTATTGCTGCATTTATAGTATTAGGCAAGTATTTATTGGTTTTAAACACCATTAGTCTGGAAATCGACCAGAACTTTGACCTTTTTATGATGTGATTTACTGCTGTGAGCCTTCAAATTCCATGGACTCCATTTAAGTAAGTTTCAGGTTTGGGAAGACAAAAACTGGAGCTAAATCTGTCTTTAACTCAGTAGGGTATTTTTAAATAGAACAAGTATATTGAACCATCATGACCAAGATGAACATTTAAAGCTGTGTGAGAAATGCAACTTAGATTTCTTAAGCCATTTCACGCAGCATGTAAAATGCTGATGTGGCTTTTACAAATCTCAGTCAGACCTCTCTTTCTCTCTTTGATACGCCCAACAGATATGTAACATTTTTATTTTGCTATATCCTACATAGTGAATCATCAGGTGAGTGACATGAGTGTAAAACTAAAGGGATAAAAAATAAGTGATGGAAAGTTACCACTTAGTGGGTATATTTTTCATTTTGATAGCTTTTCAAATGGAGCAAGTTTTGACCAGGAGAGGGATTCTGTCTGAGCCATTGAATTAGTACCACATTTATCAGCATTATGATTCATTATGTAGTTTAGCCTTGCCCAAATATAACCAATCAAATACATGTTTCCCTTTTAATTGGGCATACCAATTACTGTTCTCAGAATGCCTGTTAATTAACTGTTCAGTTGCCTTCAAGTAAAGAGCTCCTTATCTTGCTGTCCCTACATGAGTGAGTCAAGTGTCTTGGTTTCAAACACCCACAGCACAATGGGATTATGCATACAAGTAAGGGCTATGTTTTGGACCCTTGATTTGAAGTGATATATACATGAGAGCCAAGTGACATTTTTCTTCATTGTGCAAGTTCCAAAGATACTAAACGGTCATGTTCTGAGACAAGGTGACTGTTTGGAACAGGTTTAATTTTTCAGACCAGTAATTGGTAGTGGTTGTCAAGAGGTTTTTTCCCCCCTGGGTTTAGGTCCAATCAGTTTGAAGATATTTTCTATCATCCAGAAAAAGCCACATGGGCCTGATTACTCTGTGGGGGAGGGGGCTCCTCCTGGAGCTCCCTAATTGGGGAAGAGGAATAATTTGTGGCACCAGTTTAAAGGGGTACAGCAAACTTGTTCCCCTGCAAGGCTAGCGAGCTTTGCTGACTGCACAGAGTGAGACCAAGGGGTGTGTGTGTGTATGTACTACATTGTGGCCTACTCTTCATCCAAGCTGCCCTCTTTCAGGTGTGATGCTGCCAGGGGTTGAAAGCCTCATGACAGCTGTCTCTGCACTCAGGGCTATGATTTAGGTTTTCCTGTTGTAGGGCATACAAGTATGGGCAAAGGCTCCTTTCCTGCTCCCTCCCATGCATGGCCACTTCAGGGAGAAGCATAGCTATCTCTTAGGGAGCAGCTCAGCCCCTCACTCCTATTTTTAAAATAACACGAAAAAAAATAAGGAAGAAAATGTAGTAAGGGTTATTACATTACTGGGTAGGGGGCACATGGTGTATGGAGAATGAAGCTGAAGAGAGTGTCTTGATGTGGCTATTCATTCCTGAGTTGCCATATGGTCCTTGCTTTGACAGCAAAGCCAGCTGGCAATTACTCCTACTTTGGGGACCTGCCCTCAAAGGCAATGGGAGATTTGCTACTGACTTCATTGGGAGCAGGAGAGGATCAGTACAGTACTGATCTAAGTTACATGCAAAGTCCAGTTGTAGATACGGCATCAGGCTTTCTGTGGGAAATGCTTTTTAAACTACCCATCTCTTCAGATGGTGCTTGTCTGTGCATGATGCATTTCATCACTAGCAAAGAACTGCCTTTCCATAGGAAAACCCACACAATGGAAAGGAAACCCTCATGGCAATCTCCTCACATTTCTCCTCCCTTTTGTACTATCCTGGAAAATATAGATGTTGGAGCAAAAGATGCTGCTGCACCCCCCTGGCTTGAAGTGGTTTCCATCGTATACATTCAATGTGTACAAATTGTCCCAGCGGAGCTGCTGGGAAACCCTGGAATCTATGGGTGTTCTGAGAAGTGTGCCGGACTTGGGGATTTGCCAGATCTATCCACCTGGATGTCTGTGTTCCTCCACATTTCCCGTTGACCTCCTAAGGCGGCTCCTCTATCTCTCTGTAAGGAATGTGCTTACAGAGAGCTTCTGAGCCAGGGAATATATTAGTCTTCCTCCATGTATATTTTTGTGGTTTGGTTTATCATATACTAAATACACCGAGACACTACGTTAGTACAGAGCTCAGAAACTGCTGCAGACCATGGCAGCTTCCCTACAGTAGGAACTGAACAAAGAGGTCACTGCAGTACACCTCAGAGCTGCTCCAAATAGACTAACTGTGCTCTAAGGTTAACATGACCACAAACTAGGCACCTTTTTGAATTTGGATCAGCGGGGTCTATGTTGAACAGTTAGACCATAACATATTATCACACTCCATTATTCGCATCCTTCAGTCTCTTTGAAAGTTAGTGAAAACCTGTTGGTTTTTTTTAAATAGAAGTATGAATTAAGGAAACAGTGATTCTGCTACTCAGTTTATGCCACTGTGGTTAAAGCATTGTAATAATGGGTGGGAGCTGTTGAGAGAAACATTTAATATATAGAAACGTGTTAGAAATGAAACATGTAATATGTAGTAGACAGACTTTTAAAACATATTTTCTGTAGAATAGGACTTTTCTTTTTTTTTTAAGTAAATTGCAGTTTGATAGGTGAGGTTACTCGGAGACAGATTTGTTTGTATAGTGAAGATGTATCATATGATGTTGGGATTGCTACATACTCAGACCTCCTGCCAAGGCCTGCTAGAGCTTGACCTCAGAAGCTGTAGTCAGGAGCTTGGCAAGCTCTGAGGAGCATTCACTGTTAAGGGCCTGGGGCTTCAACCTTACCAGCATCCCAGTGCTATAGTCCATGTTCATTCTCCTCTGTTACTTAAAATACTTCCAGTTTGCAGATGTCCTTTTAGAATATGATTCATCTTTAGATTCACTTTTGCCTTGAATCTTTTGCAGTCCCACCAGTGCAAGGGGAGCACAACATTTATACCAACTCTGAGTAATCACTTCATACTCGCTTTGCATTTGGTTGGCACTAGTATAATTGACCACACGAGGAGCAGGGCAGTGGGTGGACTGGAGACATTGTTTGCCTTAAATGCATAGTCTCGTTGACCTTAGAGCAGGGGTGTGGAACCTTTGAGTCGGGGGCTGCTGACCCATAGAAAAATCAGTCGGGGGCCACACGCAAGTGAGAAGCAGAAGAAAAACCCCTCACTGTGGTCCTTGAATGTGGGGAGTATCTTTCTCCTTTTCATTCCCCTCATACACCAGAGCCTAGTAGATTTTGTGTGCTCCAGCCCCACGGGGGAACAGCGGGGAGATTGGAGTGCCAGAGTAGGCTCCTCAATGCTGGGAGGGGCCCTGAGCCTCAGGGACTGGACCCAGGCAAGCTGAGAGCCACAACTGGCCCCGGGGGCCTGAGATTCCCCACCCCTGCCTTAGAGTAAAGGCACAATCAACACAAATAAGTCTCCCTGCTGTAGCTCTGGCCAAATAATTCCTATACATTTAATACTGAATGACGTGACTGGTGACAGTTCTTATTTATGGACCAGCTTTTTATCGAGACATATTTTGATATTTCCCCCCATTGTTCATCCATTTTGGGGCCTGATCCTGCACCTACTGTAGTTAATGGAAGTTTTGCCATTAACTTAAATGGGACATGATTAGGCTTTTACTGTGTTTCCTGAATTTTTGTTTTGACCAGACTTCTAAGAGCATATTGAATGTCACACACTTTCCATATATATAGTACGGAATGTAACCTAAATGGTGAATAATTCAGTTTGATTCATAAAACTGTTGGCTGTTAAATCTATAGTAAACAACATCTGCTAGACTGGAAGCATCCTTACAAAGCTCTCTCTGAAATATTAGCAGGCTGGAACTTTGCAGCTTCCAGCAAAAAATCTGTGAACTAAAATGACTAAAGCAATGGTGCATGCAACTACAATTTCCTTAATAGAAGCAATTAGAATAGCGATATATTTTTTTAAATTTCTGTGTGTCTGGGAGCTAAATAGAAATATTTATAAATGATTAGTTTAATTTTGCTGATGCATTCATTAGAGAAGCCCAAGAGCAGCTGGGAGACTGAGAGGAGCTGTGAACCGAGAACAAGAGGGAGCTCATAAAGGCAAGAGACTGAACGGCAGCCAAGCGAGCCAAGTAATCCACAGGGCAATGCAGAGGAGTTGGGCAAAAACCAAACAGACATGCTTCATGGGCTTTTTTTTGGTCCCTCCTCCCCTCTGAGGCCCATCAAGCAACTCCCCTTTTGTGTTAATCTGAGCAAGGAAAAAAGTTTGGTTAATTAAAAGCCTGTCTTTTCTTCATTTTCTAAAGAAGCTAGAGTAAAATAACATGCACTCTTGACTGAGAGGGAGGGGCAGAAGTGCCTGATCAGGTCTTACCCTGACAATCCCATTCAGTGCTAAGAACGAGGACAGGGAATCAGTTCATTCAAGTGGATGTTGTTTGTTGAATGGGATATTCTCCTAGGAAATCCCCACATAGAATCTATCCTGCCTGCTCGGAACAGAGGTAAAAACATCTTGTATATGGAATGTTTTACGGACAGACCCTAAATGTGGGCACAAGAGATTTTAGCAAATAAAGATTATGAAAATGTTATGTAATTATAAGACATATCCTGTTATACATTTCTTCTTCTGTCCCAGCACTTTAACAAAACTTTGAGAAGAACTTTAAAACTGATTACTTTATTCTGGTTTTAGCAGACTACCAACAGATACCCGATGCAGCTATTCCTGATGAGAACTACAGGTGCTGGCCTTCTTACCATCACAAGGGCTGCCTTCTGTCTGTGTTTGATATCAACGAAGCCATTGAGATTTGTGAGAATCACTCCCAGTGCAAAGCTTTTGTCTTGACCAACCAGACAACGTGGACAGGTAACAGGCGCCTTTAAACAAATCGGTAGCTGATACAAATAAATCTGTGAACATGTAACACTGAAGCAGGATTATGGGAGCATAGTTGCTAGAAGTGGGAGGATGTCTCTTAAGGCTCACTGGGGGCTAAGCAGACGAGGTAGGATAGGCTGTACTTGTGCTCCATAGATTGGGGGGAGAGGTCTATGCATGGACTCAGAATAGCTTGGCATGAAGGAATCAACTGGGGGCAACTGGACAGGGATCTCAGGGACTGGACCTCCTTCGGAGTTTCATATGAGTAAGATAAGCAAGATTTGGCCCAACATTTGAATTTGTAACAAATATTCAAGACCATATGACCTGGTTTGAAATTAGGCCCATCCCTCCTTCCATCCCTCAGCTGTGACTTTGTGGCAGCCAAAAGAGAGTCCTCATCCTGACAAGAATGCCATGCTGTCGTCAGCTGTAACATAAGCAGCGGGTGTTCTGAGTTAGATACTGTTTGTTGGTAAGAAGAATTGGCCCCACCTTCTAGACAAAGGATGGTTCAGTGGTTAGAGCACCATCCTAAGATCTGGGAGAGCTGGGGTTAAATCTTTGCTCTGCCATAGACTTCCTGGATGACTGTGGGCAAGTCACTTTGCCTCTGCACAGGACTGCTGATTGGAGGGAATAGGGGAAAGGACATCAGCTTGGGTATCCACATCCATGGATGTGTGTGCAGAGATGGATACAAATTTTGTATCAGTGCAGGGTTCTGACTACTGGAAAGCCATTTCTAGTGTAATCAGATCTATATGCAAATGACAGTACAGTGACACAAACCACCAAAAAGGGAATAAAATGTAAGACAGAAATGTAAAAATGACACTCTGTGGGCATAACATTGTGCCCCTTTGTGGGTAGATAGCAAAGAGGCAGGCCTATGTATTTAGAAGTGGTTACTTAGTTGGTAGCTTAGTTTCTGGTGTCCAGCTAGATGCATCCTAAATCTGATTCTTCGCTAGTGTAAATCGATGTAGCTTTGATTTTAGTGGAGTTGTGTTAATTTAAACCAGGCCAGAATCTGTCCTTTTATCTCTCCCAGCTAACCCAATAGTGAAGGCACCTACAATAATCACTTTTAAAAAAGTTTTGTCCATAGGGGAGAACCTCTATTGGCTATAAGGTGTGATATGCAGCTGTGGCTCTTCATATCTGTTGTGCGCACCAAAGACATAAACAGAGGCTTACCTCAAACCACGAATATATCACAGGCACATACCTTTTCTTGAGGAGCCAACGCTTTCTAACTGATCACAACCCACTGTCCATTACATGACAATCAAACATGTTAAATATACCATTTAAAAGCACTTTCTTTAGCTCTGGTGAAATTTGTAGGCAGTAAGGAACTGCGCTCTAACTGAATGTCACCATCAAAATAATTCCTTAAAATACTTCACTTGCTGCTGTGTTATCACTTGATTTTTCATGCATTGATTATTTAAAACCACAGTAGCTGGCATCCAGATTAGCATGTGATTTGGTTTTGGGGAAATACTGTTATCCAGCTTAAGAAGCAGAATTTGTGGAATATCATTTGGCTGTATTACCTAGACACACAGGCTACGTTTAGACTGGCATGATTTTCTGCAAAAGCACTTTTTGTGCAAAAGCGTCCGTGCCAATCTAGACGCGCTTTTCCGCAAAAAAGCCCCGATCGCCATTTTCGTGATCGGGGCTTTTTTGCGCAAAACAAATCTGAGCTGTCTACACTGGCCCTTTTGCGCAAAGCTTTTGCTCAAAAGGACTTTTGCCCAAACGGGAGCAGCATAGTATTTCTGCAAGAAACACTGATATCTTACGTGAGATTGTCAGTGTTCTTGCGGAAATTCAAGTGGCCAGCGTAGACAGCTGGCAAGTTTTTCCGCAAAAGCAGCTGCTTTTGTGGAAAAACTTACCAGTCTAGACACAGCCAGAAGGTAAGAGAAAGCTGAATAACTGCATAAAGACACAGTAGCGTATATTCCTATGACTTTCCTTTATCAAACACAGCAGATGCAATAGGCCTTAAATGAATTCAGGCTTATGCAAGGGTTATCATGTAACTGAAACTGAACAGGGGGTATGTCTACACTACCCCGCTAGTTCGAACTAGGAGGGTAATGTAGGCATACCGCACTTGCAAATGAAGCCCGGGATTTGAATTTCCCGGGCTTCATTTGCATGAGCGGGGAGCCGCCATTTTTAAATGCCGGCTTGTTCGAACCCCGTGCCGCGCGGCTACACGCGGCACGGGCTAG